AATTACAAATTTTGGCTGCTAAGTATATATGTTTTATATTGGATATTTTATAATAGATGAAGGAGAAGAAAATGGTAGTGGATTTTTAAATATTTTATACATTAAAGCATTATTATTAATTTTTAATAGGATTTTAGCAAATTATGGAGGAGAATATCATTCATTTAATTATTCTAAATCTATTGAAATAATATTTAATCTGCTATAAAAAAAATTTTTAAGCACAACCATGTCTTGTAAGGGAACATTTAGAAAGTTAAAATTATCTATTTTTTTTCTTTATTATTAATCTGTTGAATTAAATAGAGGACTCGGGAAAATAGAATTTACAGGTGAAGGAAGGACAAGAAGAATTCTTTTGAATTTAATGTTTTTGTATGTACTGAGAAGGTAGATTAAATTCCATTAAGAATATAATCTGCAGAAAAAGGAGAAATGTATTGATTAATCTCCAGTGTATTATTAAATTTGATTTTTATTACTACTTAGGGTACTGATAATCGATACATTCTGCTTGTGCAAAAATTTCAATTTTCATATGAATAAACAATGAAATATAAAATAAAACTCTCTTAGCTTGCCCTTATTTATATTCTTACAATTTCAAGATTAAGTTAGAAAAATTGATTATGATTAGGCAAAAAATTCTCAATAAAAAAATTTAAAAAAAAATGACTATATAATTGGAGCAAGAAAATATAAAAAGTCGGACTAAATAAATAGGATGGAGGGTTAGTCAAGGCGTTTGTCTGTATTATTAATCATATACAAGTGCTGCTATATATCCAAGTTCCATGGAATCCTAGACAAGCAGCATTATTCATCATATATATATGTGCATTCATTTGTCATCTTCTCTATTTTTTATTAAAAAAAATTTAATTTTAGTCTTTTGTAATTTTTTTATAACCCAAATCCTCCCATGAAGTTGTTTATTTTCTTTTTCTCCTTCTGAGAGCAGTTCTATTACTCTTGGAGAGAAAAGTAAGATTGTAATGAAGAGCATATGATCGAATAATTATATATATGATGTATGTATGTTGTTGATTCTCTTAAAGATCTCATTAGTAGTATAATAACCTTCTTGCTTGTTTATACTTTTAGTATTCGATGTTGTTGCAAGCTTACTAATTTAAGAATTTATTATTTATTGTTTACTATTTTATTGCTTTGTTATATACTTATACATTATTTAAAGTTTTAGTTTTGTTCATTTATTTTAAGGTGGTATATGATTAATTATGAGCATGTCTCGTCTTTTTATACGTTTTTAAAGTTATTTTATTATATATATTTTTTTTAACTTTCTTCTGGACTCCATTGAGCTACAACGAAGTGAGTTGACTCGTTATAAAGGAAATACAAAATACAATTTTAAGTTAAAAAAATTAGCTAGCCGTGTTCATCCACAAGCCAATGGGACTTGAGGAGAACTAGATAAGAGCAAATTTTTCTTCTTGGTCTCCAACCTATTGTCGAATCACAAGTTAGTCCTTGAGTACGTACAACAAGAATCTAGCTTATTTCTATATAATTTAAAGGTTGAAATCAAATTTTAATTTTAACCACTCATTTGATATAACTCACAATTACTACCACTTGTTGATTTATATCACATTATAATTTCAACAACTTATAATAAAAACCAAACATGTCGACACCATTATTTAGACTCAATGGACGCTCTGCATCAAATTTCTATTATAATGGCATGGCGAGGCATTAGTTTTAGTCTCAATGGATGGATTCGAAATTTTTCAGTTTCAACGACAATTTTTTCGACTTTTCTCGAGTAGAGGTCAGAGAAGTAGTTAATTACTTTAGGATTATTAGAGATTAACATTAAATTTAAGCTAAATGGCTAAGTCATACGATTTCAATTTACATTGAAATTCACCCCTAATCCTTCGATCTCATGCGTGCCTCTATAATCAAAGTTCGGCAGATTGGTCAAAAGAAGTCGTTTGAGTCCTTGATTTGGACACATTTGTCATCTTCATGACTTTTGTTATACGAGTCATTTGCATCACGTGCATGCCTTTGTTGAATATATTGATTCCAATTTTGTTGATTTTGCTTTGTTGAATATTGATTCCAGTTTTGTTGATTTTGGTCCTATATTAACACTAAAAATAAATAAATAAATAAATCCTTAGAGATGTACGATGCATCAGTAAGTCAAGAAATAAGAATGAATGAATGAATGAATTAAAAAAAAAAATTATAGAATAGAATTTCATGTTCTATAAGCTATATTTTTATTATTTTGAAAAGTTGGGGGGTCTAAAATAATATATTTGATAATTTAATTTTATTTGGGTCAAATATTTAGATAACGAAGATAAGTTCATCAATATTGGGCTCGTTAAATATCTAATAATTAATCATGTATATTAGGTTCGAGAAAAAGTTAATTTGAATGAGGTTAAAAGCCTATTTGAATATTATTAAAAGAAAAAGCGGAAAAAAGGTGCTTCGAGAAGCCTATTTGAAGCCCTATCCAATTGTACGCTCCAATCAATTAAGAGTCAGCTGTTATCACTTGTCATCTCGAAAATCGAGGTCCAAGTCTAGAAAAGCCTAGAAAAAGAAATGTAGTTATATATTGATAAATAATTATTTATTGTCAAATTTAGACACTAAAACAAGTATAATTTTAAAAGAATTTAAATTTTTTATTTAAAAATTAAAAAAATATATATTTAGCCACAGTTTATCATCCTTTACTTGACATTCTTTCTCATTATTTTTTCTATAACAATCATTTTTAACCAAGCATTCTTCGTTCAAATAATATTACACGTAAATAATTTTTTTTTTTAACCACACATTCTTCACAATCAGTATTTCATATAAATTTCTTCAAATTGATGGAGCTCAAAAAGAGCTTTAGGCCCCGTTTGATTGCACGAGATTTTCTATGGAATTTGAAATTCGAATTCAAACTTCCACTTTTGGCATGTTTGATTGAAAAAATTTTCTAGGGAATTGATTTTTTATGAATTTTTAGGTACAACACCTTAAAGCGTGATTTTTCACCTTTTATTTTCCTAGGGATAAGTGGTTTTTTGTTTTTCACCTTTTTTTTTTTTGCTTTTTGTTTTTTTTTTTAAATTGTTGGCAATGAGAACAAATTCTAGGAACATTTGTAAAAGAGGATATCCCTGAAATTGACAATTTTCATGTAAAACAATGTCAAACGAACACCAAAATATAGGTGATTTTTTGATCTTTTTTTTTCCCCTTTTTTTTGGTTGACAATGGAAACAAATTCTAGGAACAATGGTAGAAGTGGATATCCCTTAAACTGACAATTTTCATGTAAAACAAAGCCAAACAAACGCCAAAAAATACTTTTACTTCAACATTTTTCACGTGAAAAATTATACCAATCAAACACAATAATTTACAATTCCCAAAAAAATAATTTCTAGGTAATTCAATTCCCTGAAATTTATTTTCTTTCCATCCAAATTTCATCTTTGCAATTAAAACAAACCCTTAGATTTTTATAGAATTTTTTAGGTAAAAATAAGCTTCTGCACATTCTAGTAGTTAAAATCCCAAATGATTAATTCAATCATGGTCGGCAAGAGAGAGAGATCAAATAAATTTAATTTTTTGATGCATTGGTCAAAGCTCTGTTATTCAAAGATTCATTTCTTTCTCATTCTATTCACTAGAGTTTTGACTTCTTTTCAAATTTCTATTTTATATTTTTATGTTTTCAAGATTGATAAATACTCCAACTTTGTTTATCTTGATTATAAAAGGGCACATCTTGTGAATAAGTTGTGTTTCTAATATATAAGTTTGTTGAATTTTTTACGAGTTATTCAAATTTTATTTTATGATATAAGGGTAATTGATGAAAATGGTTGGAATAATATTTTTTTTAAAAATGAGTGGTTGAAAAAGAAGTAAAAATTTTCGATTTACGTATAATATTATTTTATAAAAGATTGTGTGGTTAAAAATATGAGAGAGAAAAATAGAATATAATGGAATATAATTTAATGGCGGCCAAATGGGGGCGTGTCTCTTTATAATTGGCCAAAGGTTGGTAGATTGGTATAAAAATCTTTTGGATCTTTCAACTTTAAAATATTTAAAATCAATTTTTTAGTAAATAAACGCATAGCCAATTAAAGTTTTATGACTTTCATTGTACCTTCAGTGTGTCATATTTGCGTCATGCACGTACTTTGTTGAATATATTTCCAGTTCTATATTAAGATTTGAAATAAAAATAAAAAACAACTTACAGATGTATGACGTTTAAATAAGTCTTGATGGACCACAAGAATTCTAGAAACAACATAAACATAGACCCAAAGTAACAGGCTCTGTGGTTGCAAGTCCAAAACCAAAACCATACTCGACCACCTACCGACAACCTTGGAGTGACACTGGCAATACCAAAAATCGTGTGATATTATTCTGCACCACTTAATTAGAGTAACTTAAGAGCCTAGATGAGTGTTCAAACATCTTGATCAAACATTCAAGAATTATAGAATGATTTTCTTGATACGTTATCCACTAGACAATCCCATTTTTTATTCTGCTACAGCGAATGGAGGTTGGACTCTGACCGAAATACTCACAATGAGTCAAGCCCACCTTTTATTTCTTTTTCTTTTTCCATTTTTTCTTTCTTTCTTTTTGTTTTCTTTTGAATTTTCTTTTACGCCGTTTCGTGCGCGTGAGGGGCTGCATGGCTTCTATCACCCATTCTCGATCACTTTAGCTTAATTCATTTTTTAATGGCTTGGCTATTCTTATTTAGAGTAAAGCCAAATGACCACATTTGTTGACACAAAGGTTGACACACCTCTCACAGTCGAGGTGTGGGTCCCGCGCCAATAAAATAATGTCAACCTCCACATGTGAGTGTATTGTGTCAACAAATGTGGCTATGTAGCATGACCCTCTTATTTATACTCGCTTATGTTCACTGATTTCAGTGCACCTCCCAATTCCATCATACATAAACACTTATGGCTTCTCCACAACGAAACCCCAATTCCACAACTCAAAACATCTCACAATCCAGCCAAGAACAATGTCACCAGCGTGACAAGATCCATCGTATTATACCAGAGAAGGATGTGAACTCCTTGGGAAAATACGGTGGTGCTCCCATGGTTGCCGATGCTTCCAATTTTGATATTGAAGCAGGGCTTCAGACGGGTACAGCTCTAAAAGCTGGATTGAAACAAGTCGATCCCCCAAGTTTCCCCAGCTTCGTGTTGGAGGAGTTCAAAAGTGCTACCTTGCTTCCGCTCTTCGTCTCTGCTGTAATTTGCTTCATTGCAGGGATTGTCTCGAAAAACCCTGATTATGGCTGGACTGAGGGTGTTGACATACTGGTTAACATTCTCATTCTTGTCTTTCTACCTTCTATTCAGAAATACTGTACTGCAAGAAAAGATGCGAAGAAAATCAAGTCACTAAAGGTGACAGTAATAAGAGATGGGGAGTATCAAGATTTGGCTGTCCCGGAGGTGGTGGAGGGTGATTCAGTTGTCTTAAAGGTGGGAGATGTCGTTCCCGGCGACGGCTTGCTTGTGTCTGGGAATGAATTAGTGATTGATGATAAGTTGGATTTCCTTATTGATGGTATTAACAATCCATTTCTCTTTTCTGGTTCAAAAGTTGTCGAGGGACGAGGCCGCATGATCGTTGTGTCTACTGGTTCTAGTACATCTCTAGGTAAGATGATGCTCTTGAAGAACCGCAATCCATTTGAAGAAGAACCCTTGTTCCAGGCTCACATGAAGGAACTTAACAGGACCATGGATTATATTGTCATGTTCATCTACATCGTGCTTGCTTTGGTCTTATTTTTCCAGCTCCTTTACACAAGAAACCACCACAAGGACGACCAGAAGAGTGTTCGACCACCCAACTTGAACAATAAAGTGTCAGCCGAATTTGTAGAAACTTTGTTCAAGAAGATCTTGTTGAGATCGAGAGGTAAAATCATCCTTCTGATCTATTCACTTACTATAGTTGATCTGGGTTTGCAGGGTATTTTACCTCCGACTATTTCAGCTTCTCTGATATGCTGGAATAGGAATCTGAAAAAGAAGCATCAGATTCACCATAAGAATTTGTATGCTTGTGGTACCATGGGATTGACAAAAATCATCGTAATTGATGTATCCAGTGAATTACTTGTGCCTCAATGCCCTCGAGAAGCTGCAAAAGATCTTCAGGATAAAGGAGTTTCCATCGTATTGGTGTCAAGGGATGATGAGAATTTCGTAAGAGCCATAGCTGACAAGATCGGAATACTGCATACTTCCAGAGATTTGGTGGTTAATGGAGAGGAATTCGACCGAGGTGATATCCCAAGGAATAACATAATTTCCATAAGGATTATGTACAAATCCCAACCAAAGCACACTTTCCTCCTTGTGAAGGCCCTGAGAGAAAATGGGCACGTGGTTGCTTATTTGGGGGGCTTGGCAACCCTAGACACTCCAGCTTTGAAGGAAGCAGATGTTGGAATTATTGAAGAACATAATAGCTGCGGATTGGCCAAAGAATCTTCGGATTTCACAGTAAAAGGAGAAGGATCTTTGCTACCACTTCTGACAGTTGGAAGATTTGTTTATTCTAATGTGGGCTCATTCATTGAAGCTCTCCACACAACAAGCATTTGCATTTTGTTCATGGCCTTCATTTTAGAGCCATTTCATCTCATCTGGGTGAATGCTGTGATTCATATCCTTGGTTTTTCAATGATTTTGATGGAGCTACCCAAGAAAAGAACTATATCGCTCAAGGCGAAGGTCATGTGCCCGAACATTGCGCGTAAGGTCTTGTGCCAGGTTCTTCTTCTGCTGAGTTTAGGGTTTATTCCAAAACCGATACTGGGCTCGAACGAGGATATTCAGGAAGTTATGACACTGAATATTTTCACCATGTTCCAGGTTTTCTACATGTTCCAGATCATGGAATTTTCAGATATAGAAGTTCTTAAAGTTGCTGTTAGGAACTACAGTTTTTTAGCAACAGTTGGAATTACGATGGTCTTCCATGGAATTATCATAAATTGCACTGAGAACTTGAGTTTTCTGAATTGGACAGTCTGTTTCCTGCTTGTGTTGCTTTTGTGGGTTCTCGATTCGACTCTGAAGTTCGTCGCAGAAGCACTTTACAGACTATATGATCAAATTCAAATTTGTATTGCAGTAATTTTAGTGTTGTATTTTATAATATTGTAAGTTTCTTGATAATGAACTGTTTTACAAATAAGAAAATTTTCAATTATTAAGGTTTGTCTGATAGTGTATTTCATATATATTTTAAAGTTGTATCTGATTTCGAATAAGGTTTGTCTTCGTTTATCACTTCTTTGTTTAATGGTCATACAAAAGGGAGTCAATGGTCAACTGTAATAATACTCTCTCCACAAGGCGGCGCGTGGAGCGAACGAACAACGAGATAGTTTGGATAGTGGTGCCTAGAGCCGGATCTGGAAGCTCACTGGAAAAGTTGGCCACCGTAAACGGAAGATCTGTGAGGATGCTAAAGCCATTATCAAGATAGCCGACGCCATTTCTGCGAGCAAATTGAGTTTCTTTTAATTAATTCTCGTTTTGTTGTCATTTTTTTGTTAACAAATCATTTTTTTATTATAAAAACAAGCTTTATATTTTGGTTTACCAAAGAAAATTACAATGAATGGAAACTGGGGATTTGGGGGGAATTTAGCTTAGGAAATCGATATATAAATTAGGTGAACTGATCTCTTAATTAGAAATTTTGGCTGCTAAGTATATATTTTTTATATTGGATATTTTATAATAGATGAAGGAGAAGAAAATGGTAGTGGATTTTTAAATATTTTATACATTAAAGCATTATTATTAATTTTTAATAGGATTTTAGCAAATTATGGAGGAGAATATCATTCATTTAATTATTCTAAATCTATTGAAATAATATTTAATCTGCTATAAAAAAAAAAAAAAAAAATTTAAGCACAGTCATGTCTTGTAAGGGAACATTTAGAAAGTTTAAATTATCTATTTTTTTTCTTTATTATTAATCTGTTGAATTAAATAGAGGACTCGGGAAAATAGAATTTACAGGTTAAGGAAGGACAAGAGGATTTTTTTTTGAATTTAATGTTTTTGTATGTACTGAGAAAGTAGATTAAATTCCATTAAGAATATAATCTGCAGAAAAAGGAGAAATGTACTGATTAACCTTATTTATATTCTTACAATTTCAAGATTAAGTTAGAAGAATTGATTATGATTAGGCAAAAAATTCTCAACAAAAAAATTTTTTAAAAAAAATGACTATATAATTGGAGCAAGAAAATAAAAAAAGTCGGCCTAAATAAATAGGATGGAGGGTTAGTCAAGGCGTTTGTCTGTATTATTAATCATATACAAGTGCTGCTATATATCCAAGTTCCATGGAATCCTAGACAAGCAGCATTATTCATCATATATATATGTGCATTCATTTGTCATCTTCTCTATTTTTTATTAAAAAAAATTTAATTTTAGTCTTTTGTAATTTTTTTATAACCCAAATCCTCCCATGAAGTTGTTTATTTTCTTTTTCCCCTTCTGAGAGCAGTTCTATTACTCTTGGAGAGAAAAGTAAGATTGTAATGAAGAGCATATGATCGAATAATTATATAAATGATGTATGTATGTTGTTGATTCTCTTAAAGATCTCATTAGTAGTATAATAACCTTCTTGCTTGTTTATACTTTTAGTATTCGATGTTGTTGCAAGCTTACTAATTTAAGAATTTATTATTTATTGTTTACTATTTTATTGCTTTGTTATATACTTATACATTATTTAAAGTTTTAGTTTTGTTCATTTATTTTAAGGTGGTATATGATTAATTATGAGTATGTCTCGTCTTTCTATACGTTTTTAAAGTTATTTTATTATATATTTGTTTTTTAACTTTCTTCTGGACTCCATTGAGCTACAATGAAGTGAGTTGACTCGTTATAAAGGAAATACAAAATACAATTTTAAGTTAAAAAAATTAGCTAGCCGTGTTCATCCACAAGCCAATGGGACTTGAGGAGAACTAGATAAGAGCAAATTTTTCTTCTTGGTCTCCAACCTATTGTCGAATCACAAGTTAGTCCTTGAGTACGTACAACAAGAATCTAGCTTATTTCTATATAATTTAAAGGTCGAAATCAAATTTTAATTTTAACCACTCATTTGATATAACTCACAATTACTACCACTTGTTGATTTATATCACATTATAATTTCAACAACTTATAATAAAAACCAAACATGTCGACACCATTATTTAGACTCAATGGACGCTCTGCATCAAATTTCTATTATAATGGCATGGCGAGGCATTAGTTTTAGTCTCAATGGATGGATTCGAAATTTTTCAGTTTCAACGACAATTTTTTCAACTTTTCTCGAGTAGAGGTCAGAGAAGTAGTTAATTACTTTAGGATTATTAGAGATTAACATTAAATTTAAGCTAAATGGCTAAGTCATACGATTTCAATGTACATTGAAATTCACCCCTAATCCTTCGATCTCATGCGTGCCTCTATAATCAAAGTTCGGCAGATTGGTCAAAAGAAGTCGTTTGAGTCCTTGATTTGGACACATTTGTCATCTTCATGACTTTTGTTATACGAGTCATTTGCATCACGTGCATGCCTTTGTTGAATATATTGATTCCAATTTTGTTGATTTTGCTTTGTTGAATATTGATTCCAGTTTTGTTGATTTTGGTCCTATATTAACACTAAAAATAAATAAATAAATAAATCCTTAGAGATGTACGATGCATCAGTAAGTCAAGAAATAGGAATATTATATTGACTTCGTGGAAAAAAAAAATTCTAGAAACAATAATATTAACCAAAACTCTTATTTGGTGGGGATTAAAATCTAGATTCTTAGTCGATTTTAATAAAAGTTTTTAAAATTTGTGGTTGAAAAGTTGTGGGACCAAATAAATAAGTTGTTAATATTAATTATTTGACTTTGACTTAAATTAAAATTTCATTTGAATCATGACCAAACAAGGGCTAAATATTGAACCCGAGCATAAGTATAGACCCAAAATAACTGGCTTTCGTCTTTTTGGTAGCAAGTCCGGAGCCAAAATCAGACTCCACCACCAACCGAAAACCTTAAAGCAATACCAAAATGACGTGCAATTTGCATAATTCATGTGTAATTATTCTGCATCTCTTAATTAGAGTTAGAGTTAGTGTAAAACCCAGATGATGACGATGATCATAATAATAATAATAATAAATGAATGAATAAAAAAAAATTATAGACTAGAATTTCATGTTCTATAAGCTATATTTTTATTATTTTGAAAAATTGGGGGCCTAAAATAATATATCTGATAATTTAATTTTATTTGGATCAAATATTTAGATAACGAAGATAAATATATCAATATTTGGCTCGTTGAATAGCTGATAATTAATCATGTATATTAGGTTCGAGAAAAAGTTAATTTGAGTAAGCGATGCTCAAGTTATCGAGGATAAAAGCCTATTTGAATAGTATTAAAAGAAAAAGAAGCCTATTTGAAGCTCTATCCAATTGTACGCTCCAATCAATTAAGAGTCAGCTGTTGTTACTTATCATCTTGAAAATCGAGTCCATGTTTTGAAAAGCCAACAAAAAAAAAAGGAAAATGCAATGTGGCAACACCTCAGTCATTGGATCTGGAAAAAAAATAAAAATGAAGTTGAATCGAGGACTGAGGTGATGCCAACTCAACCCCTTGTCCCCGAGTCGGCCCCCGAGGTGGGCACTGTAGCACGGTTGCAAAAAAAAAAAAAGGGCTGTGTACAGCAAGGCACACTGCACTGAATGTGGGGTCCCCGAGGGGCTGTAAGTTTGGTTTTAAGAGGGCTGTACAAACAACTTTACCCCCAAAAAAAAAAAAAATTTAGCCCCTATTTGGTGGTCCTGAGAAATGAAAATGGGGGAATAATATTTTTTTTTTAAAAAATGAGTGGTTGAGAAAGAAGGAAAAGTTTTCGATTTATATGTATTATTATTTTATGAAAAATTGTGTGGTTGAAATAGGAGAGAGAAAAATAAAATGTAATGAAATTGAGATTAATGGGGGCCAAACGGGACATTAGTTATATATTGATAAATAATTATTTATTGACAAATTTGGACACTAAAACAAGTATTATTTTAAAAGAATTTAAATTTTTTACTTGAAAATTAAAAAAATATATATTTAGCCACTGTTTGTCATCTTTTACTTGGCATTCTTTTCCATTATTTTTTTCTATAGCACTTATTTTTAACCACACATTCTTCATTCAAATAATATTAACGCAAATAAAAAAAAAAAATTTTAACTACACATTCTCAGTCAATCAGTATTTCATATATATTTCTTCAAGTTAACGAGGCTCAAACAGAGCTTTAGATTTTTATAGAATTTTTTCGGTAAAAGTAAGCTTCATTACATTCTAGTAGTTAAAATCCCAAATGATGAGGTCAATCATGGTCGGCAAGAGATAGATCAAATAAATTTAATTTTTTGATGCATTGGTCAAAGCTCCGTTATTCAAAGATTCATTTCTTTCTCATTCTATTCGCTAGAGATCGGGTTTTAACTTCTTTTCAAATTTCTATTTTATAATTTTATGTTTCCAAATTGATAAATACTCCCAACTTTGTTTATCTTGATTATAAAAGGAAGCATCTTGTGAATAAATTGTGTTTCTAATATATAAGTTTGTTGAAATTTTTATAAGTTATTCAAATTTTATTTTATTATATAAGGGTAATTATGATAGTGAAAAGAAGTGGACATCGGTGTAAGGAAAAGGGACTTTGCTATTGTTGTGATAAAAAAATTCCTTCCTAGACATCGGTGTCAACGACCATAGAGCTATTCATGAGTGAAGGCATAATAAACACCAAAGAGGACTCACGAGACGTCGAGCACTAACCATCAGCTACAGGAGAGCTAATGCCTGAATTTTCTTTCCATGCCATTGTCGGAATCGAACATCCCCGAACGATACGACTCCAAGGCAAGTTGAAAGGCAGAGAGATCATGATCTTGATAGATGGGGGTAACTTTGTAAATCATTCTTTGGTAATGAATTGCGGCTTGCCAGTAACTCATAATAAGACATTCCAAGTCATGGTTAGGAAAGATCGATTCTATAGAAAAATGTCTTGCTGTACCTTTAGACATTCAAGGATATCTAGTTAA